TTTCAAGCCAATATTTTTATGTGAGAATATATATAAAGGCAGATAAAATTAAAGTCCTGTTAGTTTCCTCCACCTCCAGGAAAGCACTCATCTAGCTTCGCATTTAGTGATCGCAGCATTCACGCTTACCCTGTTGAAATACTTGTTGATTTAGCGATTTATTTGAAACTTTTTCCAGTCATCACGGAAGAGTCATTGTCGACACCCGAGAGGATAAACATACTGTATTTGCTTTAAGGTAAAATTATAAGTTTTATGTTCTAGATAATAATAATAGCTTAGTTGAATACTTGATTGAGGGTATAAATGTTAAATGGTGCGGGTTAAACCGTGTACGATACGTTAACCGCGTTAGTATAAGTCGAAAGAGATAGGAAACAGAGATCTCAGATCGAGGAAATGTTATGGACACTTAGTGGATGGATCTTCAACTAAAATTGGGCTTTTGTTGTCATTTACTGTACCATCAATATTTAATGTAGAAATTAAAGCTCTGGGGCTGTGAAGTACGGTACAAACGAAATGCTTTTTGCCTGTAAAAGTAGTCATTCAGGTAAGCAAAAAATACGTTTTAGCCTTACTTTAGCTGAGTGCAGTGAATCGATTGATTTACTTTTTTCTATCGCTGTCTTCGAACCCTCGGTTTTTCGTTAATGAGCCTCCTTACATTTCGAACCTTTTTTAAAAATCCTTTTCGGCAAAAGGTTCCTGAATTAATGTCTTTTTTAAATTTGTTTAACATGCCCTTTATTTTGCTTGGACTTGTAAAGACCTTTGATCCTCTTCTTCTAACAGTCAAAAGCTTAATTACAGTAGTTTTCAGCCTCTTTTAAACTGTTTCTTTTCCGTCACTTTTTAATGAAATGTTCTGGAGCGAGTCAGTTGCGAAAGTTAATACACGCAAAGATGGGTTAAAAATATTGCTTTAAAGTTTTCTGAGTACATTGATGAGAAGATAATGAAGTCTTCTCCAATTATATTGTATTAATTTGTTCATCATTATATACAGACCGTCAATGATTTTCTTTAATCGAGTAATTTCGATTTATGAGCTTTGACTACGATATAGAACTGAAATTTCGATTCACGGTTTCAATTGCTTTTTCTTGTTTTTTTCAATTTTCAATTCGGTTTTAATTAATTGCTTTAACACTTTTTAAGGATCAGGGTTTTTTTTTCTAATTTAAAGAAAAGAACACTTTCGTGTTCCAAATATTGACCGTGTTGATTTCTTTTTAGTTTCACCTGCTTGTGTTGATTGTTGTTTACAGTTTTGATTTTTTTTTTTTAAAGTTGAACTGACCTCTATCGCTAAAACCGTCTCGGCTTTACTATGCTGTCCAAACAATTCATTTTAGGAAAAATGTTTCGTTTTTGAGGCTAAAAGAAATCTAACCTACCATAATTAAATCAGGTGCAATACCAAATCAGACTTTCTCAGCTTTGAAACGTTTAAATTAGAAACGTGAAAAGGATAAAAGACAAATTTATCGGTTTTAATGTGGTAAAAAACGTCCACTATTTTATTGGCCTAATGATTAGGATTATTCCGTGGTTTCGTCCACTTAGGTTTCATTTGCTGCTCCGTCACAAATTCGTTTCGATATTCAGCTCACTGAGTTAGTTTTGCTGATGTAGAACAGAAATGCTAAGCTCTTAGTTTCTTTGTATATTTATAATGTAAGTCCGCCAGTTTTTGTAGGAGTCTGTAAATGAAATGCTTTGTTGCGAAACCTCTTTCAGCTAGGAATTTCTCAGTAAAGTCTCCTATTCTGTGATGTCTAGTCTAGCAAAACACCGATATAGATTTGTTAAACCTGTAGACAACATCTTGTAATGGCAAATTTGCTTGGTCTGGTGACAGTTGTTTCAAACTAAACATCAGACGTAACTTCTGACTGAGTAACCGTAATATTTCGTACAAAACGTTTCCTCTCAATGCTGGAACCAGGAGCTTACAACTTGAGAATTCCTTCATCGTGTTCCCTTAAAACGACAGACCCAGAACCTCTTCTATAGGGTTGACAACTTAAAAAAGTCGAGTATATCTTAACAGCATAGCTCAGGGAGGTTCAATCGAGACAAATTATTCCACTAGTTTTTTGGTGAAATTAGTATAAGAAATGCAGTAAGTGTTTGGCCGCACATAAGTATGCACGTGCACTCTAGCCCCTCCAGTAAAACATGCACGAGGAAAAAGTGTTTAGGACTTCCACCTTCAAGCACGCCGTCACGTGAAGAAAGTGCTCTAATCGTGTATCAAATATAATTAATTATTTACTAATATAAAATTAGGCCTTTTAAAAAGAGCTTCCGTCTTCAAATTATAATTGCCTCGATATTTATTTTTGTATCACAGATCAATTTTCGTCTGTTGGCATTTTTTAAACAGCGATAGCAAAGCTGGTTTACTTTTGAATATGATCTTCTGAATTATCGATAATAATCCTTATAAAGAAATGAGAACAGAGAAAAGTAATAATAGGAGGGGGACGCGGAGGAGTCGTATTTCAGGCACGTCGTATAACTCATTTTTAGCATAACTGATCATAAAAAGCTGAAGCTTGAACGCCAAAGACCCGATCATTGTACCTGTTTCTAGTATGAATTTCTATTTTTTATGTGCGATATGTGTGTTTGTTGTGAATCAAGACGTTAGTATAATAGATTTGGATATACGTGGTTACTGCAAGATTATTGTGCCAGAAATATTGCTCTGGGAATGTTAGGGTTTATTAAAAATCGTTGTGAAGGAATCGTAAACTAGTAATATTTCAAGTCTGATTTTCACCTCGAAATGAAAATGAACCATGAAAGAGAGTCAACTTAATCGTTCATCCAAATATTTTGTTACTAAGGAAGTGGAAGTCAGAATTTTTTTTTAGCTGTCATTGACGTCCCTGAGCTTTCTTTGTTTACTGCCAGATTACGTAAGTGTTCAATATTTGCTATTTTGACTGGACGGTATCTCACCCACGCATTTCGAACTCTTTCCAGCTTTTGATTTTCCACAAATAATAAATTTTTGTCAAAACTTTCTTCATTGACGCCATGGTATATCGGTCGAGTACGGAGTGACGCCCATGAGAAAGTGGGGGATCGTCCGAACTTCCTCTACATACTCAAGGGCCTTTTCCCACATATGAAGGGGGCAACGCGGGCTGGTGACGAGGTTGGCGGAGATCGTCAGTAAAATGTATTGTTTTTATTAGGCCATATTAAACGAAAACTTTGGGTTTTGCTTGAGCCTGTCAATCCAAAGTTTTGCGTTTTTTAAAACATAGACTATTGGACTTACCCGTATGGCTTTTCATTCTTAAAGTTTTAGCTACTAATTACAATACTATAAACAAGATTTTTTTAAAAAATACTAGACTTTGTTAAAATACATGGCTCGAACAATAAATTTTAAAAATTACTGTTCAAGTTGTCCTTAAGCAGCATGATGAAGACAAAAAATTAAAATGTTCAAATGAGGCCTTAAAATGCTGCCCGTTTTAAAAAATATAAATAAAAATCCGAGCTTTCGCCGATCAACGGCATCATCGTGGGGAACAGCAGTTTGATGCCTCATTTGAACATTTTAAATTTTTAATGTAAAAAAATGCGTTTGCAGTTGTATGTTTCCTTCGTTGCATGAGCATTACCAATATATGGAATATCTCGACTGGTCTTGGCCAGTGTTTCAGTCAGTTTAGCTACCTTTACTGATTGATTGATTTCGTTTGCGAGCCCAGTGTTCTCACACACTGCTCTTTTGTTTTCAGTTCACGGTTTCGAAGTATGGATCGTTATCTGTTGGTTGTGTTTCTGTGTTTCTCTAAATTCACCTTTTCTTCCAGTCAAGGTAAGTAAGCTTTAATTTAACGGTCCAAGTTTAATTTGAAGAAGAGTCCGCGCGTTATCCTTGACCCGGGGGGGGCGGGGTAATCCCTTATAAGGGCTTAATGGGGACGTGCGGCCAGCCAGGGTATGTTTTTCGGGATTTTTGTCTTAAACAGGGTATCGAATTTATCATTTTTTTGTCTTAATCAGGGTATCGATTTATCAATTTTTGTCTTAAACAGGATAAATGTCTTAAACAGGGTATCAAAAATCGGAATTCTGTCTTAAACAGGGTAGGAAAATCAGCGATATTTGTCTTAAACAGGGTCAGGGTATGAGGGGCTGCGCCGCACTTCCCCACCCAGGGATATATCGAGTACCCCCCGGGATCCTTGACTTCTGAAAAGAGCCGGTGGGAGAGGGGTGAAGCATCCGAGGTTAATTCTGACAAGAGACGTTTACAATTTTTAGAGCTATGGGCGGGGTTGTTCAAAGCAGGGTTGAGATAACTGGCCAGGGTTAGTGCGAAATTTAAATTCATATATGAAAGCTTAAAAATCAAATTCTTTTTGTCTGCACTGGAATGATTTGATGCTCTAAAGAATAGAGAAAATTATCCAAGAAAATGCTTTTGAACAGAAAAATAACAAACCCAGATTCAAATTTAATCCCGGGTTAGCGCTAATTGACCTTTAAACAACTGGGCCCAGAACGATCACTTTATTCTCTAAATTTCTTAAGCATGATAATTAAACACACATTTTCCCTGGAAAAATTAATATTGCCTACAAACTCGAAACTCCTAAAATACAGTTTCAGTCTAATCGTTTTTGATAAAATGCACAGGAACGAACTACGAACTAAAGTAAATAATATTGAAAAATATGGATGGATGGATAAGGTATTAGCACAGAAACAAAAAGACGGGACTAAAATGCAATTAACTCTGACACTCTAATTTTTGTCTTTTTTATTTTTCAGGATGGAGCTACCTTCCAAATGCTAATGTTGGTGAGAAAATATTAACATTTCGTTTTTACTGTTTATCAGTTTTCGTTAAATCCATCCGGCGATGAAAAGTGAAAATTCTCCCACTTTTCTAATCAGCTTTTGACCGACACGTCATTCTCTTAAAAGTTCTTTTTAAAAACGCTTATCCCAAACATGCCTTGATTTCTCTTTTAGGCCCTGCTAACTGGGCTGGTATATGTAGTACAGGCAAGAAACAATCACCAATTGATATTAAAAGCACCGAGATAACTCATGACAAAGGATTGGGTGCGTTCACACTGGAAAACTACGACAGGAAGCTCAACAAAACCTTCACTGGCTCAAACACAGGCTACGCCTTTGGAATGGCATTCCCTGAGAGAGTGTACAATGTCAGCGGAGGAGGTCTGAACGGTGTTTACACCACTGTTCAGTTTCACTTTCACTATGGACCAAACGACACTGTGGGATCGGAACACATTGTAGACGGAGAACATTATGCCGCTGAGGTGAGTGAATGAATGAATGACTGGGTGGGTGGATGAGTGAATGAGTGGGTGATGGGTTGGTGGGTGAGTGGTTTATGAGTGAGTGAGTGGGTGGGTGGGTAGTGAGTGGTTGGGTGGGTGGATGGCTGTGTTTGTTTGTGGGTGAGTGAGTGAGTGAGTGAGCAAACTGAAACTGAATGTTACAAAGACAATTCTTGCATCAAAGTACAACGAGGTGTTTCTTTTAATATATCAGAGAAATCCATTGGTCTTTCTAAGAATTATATCATAAGTGCGACATAAAAACATTCCAGAGTTATAATCCCTAAATAGAGAAAAGGACGGTCCGAAGGTTTCAAGCTGTACATTAATTGATAAAGGAAATTCGTTGCTCAAACGCGAGTGATAACGGTCGGCGCGAACCTACTAGAGTGCATATGTTTTTCTTTTGTTGTACAAAGTCTATGATTCATCAGCCTATCAGCTCGATAACTAGCTTCGCGTTTTATTTGCGCCTTCTTAAGAGATCTTCCTTTGCTGCTAACCTGGAAATTGTTAAATTGTTAAACTGTTTTCAACACTAAACAACTTCAGTTTCTGCAAACGAATGAGACTACGGAAAAGTAGTTTTTAAAATTCCTTTTAAGGAACTTCAAATATTCGCATCAAATGTTTGACTTTACCTTCTTGTTTTTACAGTTGCACTTTGTAAGTTATAACACCAAATATGACAACATTGTGCAAGCAATCGAACATGAAGATGGTCTTGCTGTTCTTGGTCTCTTCATACAGGTAATTGGGAAAAAAGAAGTTGATTAAATAGAGAATATCTAGAGATCTCGAGAGATAAATTTAGAGCAATTGTTTTAAAATGTGAATAGATATAACGACACGTGTTTCGATAGGATATCAGAACATCTGTTTTGGTACGATCGACATTTCTCAGTGGCCAAAATCCCTATAACACACTGTAGTTTATATAATATATTTATTAAGTAAACCCAAACGTTCCTGTGAACTTTTCGGTTTCGTTTCAGTAATCTGCAATCATTCTTGGGCCGAAAATTTGATAAACGTGAATCGCTTTTTATTCTGATTTTTCAGGTTGGAGGCATGAATAACACAGCATTTTCTTTTCTGGAAAATGCCCGAAACCTTTCTGAGAGTTGTAAGTGATGTTTTTTCCGCATATTCGCAGTTTTCATGGCGCAATTTCATGAAACCGTGTCCGTTTCTCCATATTGTGACTAACGACATCTTTGGTACGTTTTTATCTCCTTCTGTATCTGTAGACTCATCCATGGGTGGCATTCCAGCTTTCAGATTTGACAGCCTGTTACCTGCCAACAAGACCAAGTACTTCCGCTACAGCGGTTCTCTAACCACTCCTTCTTGCAAAGAGAGTGTCACGTGGACTGTTTTTAGGGACCCTGTCAACATATCGCAGTATCAGGTACCGTATTTGACTGAAAAAAAAACGTGTTTTAAACTACTTGACAGCAGCGTTTTTTTTAGTGTAAAAATAGTCCGAATATCTCCTAATTTGTTTGTTTTTTTGTTTTTAGATGAACCTTCTGCGTCAACTCCAGAAGACGTACACCACATTAAGTGTTGGAAATTACCGTCCCGTTCAGCCACTCTACAACCGAATCGTCAGGGCTAGCTTCCAGGCTTCCGCTGATACTAATAGTGCAACTTCAACCCCGAGAATCAGTACTGGTAGTATTGCTACAAGTGCGACAGAACAGGCCTCGCTAGCTGCGACCGTCGGGTGTGGCCTGGGATCGTCTGCAGTTCGAATGTCTGCTGGCCTGTATTTGTTGATGTTGTTTGCTGCCTCCTCAGCTATTTTTATACATGAGTTTTGAGTTACAAGGTATCGCTCCATGTAATGGAATCCAAGACAGTCTCAGATTCTGGATTCCACGCCGTGGATTCTGGATTTTAAGTACTGGATTCCACACTTTATCAGTGGAACTTGGATTCCGGATTCCAATCGTTAGTGGAATTCCGTATTCCTTGACCTGTATTCAAGATTCCACAAGCAAAATTCCCCAATTCCGGATTCCACGAGCGAAAATTTTCTCGGATTCTCTTACATGGGTGGACAAGCTAGTTGATATAGATTACCCTCTCCAGTTTTATTTTCTTGAGTTACAGAGCAGTTCAACTAAACAAAAGAGAGAAGGAGTGAAAGTAAGGCCCCTACTAAAGAAAGATTTAGATTTCCGTTTACCGCAGCAAACGGCAAACGCGAGATTAGAGTTGGCTATCTCTTAGATTAGGAAATAAACAGTTTCCATGAAACTTCTCATTATTGTGTAGATATAATGAACAGTAAACAACAGTCAAAATGAAAACTTGGTCACGTGGTGAAAATGGATTATGAAGTCAGTCCTAACTTACCAGCTATTCACATATAATGTAAACAGGACACGCTCCGTAGTCCTCTCATACTGGGCATTACTTTGTATAACACACTGACTTTTTCCTAGACTTTCTCAAAGTCGTTCGCTTGGTTTTCTGGTCTGGTGTGGTAGGACCCGGCACGAACTTTCGCTCGCTCGCGCTTCGCCCTCACAGTCGCGCTACGCGCTCAAAAGCTTGACTTGTGAGCAAGTCTAACTTTTTCCGTTTGCCGCTTGCCGCTAACGTGATTCTAAATCTCCCTAATAACGAAGGTGGATCACTGGGAATTCAAATAATTTGTTTACCGATCTTCGGTTTCTTTCGGCCTCCTCTCAATTTTCATTTATTTATTCATGTATTTGTATATTTATTTTGTTCATTTCATTCTATTATGTTTCCATATTTTTTGTAATTGTGTTGAAATGGGATAACACAGTAAAAAAAGCATTTTTACAAATGAGTTAATGTAACTCAATTTTGAGTTAAGTGTCTCATTTTACTCATTTTATTGAGTAAAATTACTCACAATATGAGTTAGCTTTTTTTACCCTCAGAGAGAGTTATAACAACTCACTATTCTGAGTAAAATGACTATGATCAAAACATGCGAGTAAACCCTTTACTCCCTGAGTAAGGCAAATCCTTTTACCGTTTATAGCGAGTAAAATTAACACCTTATTTTGAGTCACTTGGCTGTGAAGCAGACAACTGAGTAAAAATACTCACACAAAGTTTACCTACTCGTTTCAGCGTTGCAAATTAAGAAAGGCACAAAACCACAAATATCGAACAAACAAAAAGCTACAATGATCGGGTACTGACCCGGGACAAGGCAGTCTTACACCACGTACTACGCGACCGATCTATATCTCAAGCGGTTTAGCTGTCAAAATCCTTATGCTACGATCAAGCGGCAACTATCAATATTGATTCAACACCAAAGCTACAATCCAATTATTATCTTCTGTGTCGCCGTCTTCATCAACCTCTGCTCGTTCAGCAACATTATTGACACTGTGTCAGGATCTTTTCAGGTGTATTAAAGTCACATTTCGTAAAACTAAAGCGCCTGTTGTGCAGCACCGTGACCTGGTCACGCTGATCTCATACATACATGGATCATTTGTTTTGCTCAACCAATCATTTGTCTCGAACACATAAATAAGTTATTGATGTGATCACGTGTAACGCTTGAACCAATCACTGGTCTTGGATCAAATCATCGTTGGATAAACGCGCGCGCAAAAATAACGATTTGAAGCTAATCGTAAAGCGTCGTTTATACCCTCTTCTCGCTGTTTTCTTGCCTCGATATTGATTTCTTCAATTGGAATCGTCTCTTAAGTATTAGCCGTGGCGGTAGAGACTCGTGTTTACGACGTACAGACATGGCTCGGCGATAGTACTGGTGTTGAAGATTCTTCGAAATTACAAGGTAAGCACTCGCCGACAATTATAGCCTGAGCTTAAATAATTATAAGGCATCTATAATTATTGTCCTCTGCAGCAGGCTTATCTCCTTGAAGAAGGAGCTACTAATAGTTTAAGGGCTAAGCAGAATCAGTGTAAAAGGGATATACCTTTTTTGCTTTATCCTAAAAGTACTAGTATCCTCGGACGTAAAGAACGGACAAAGCACAAAGCATCGCCATTTTGCATTATAAAGCGCGTTTTGGCGGGCAATTTGTACCTGTTCGGTTTTAGTTTGCTGGTTTCAAAACTCCTGTATTTTATGTGCAGTTTTTATCTTAATATATTATTGGAAACAATATATTTTCAATGACAACCTAGCTTTATCTTTATTTTATACTCAGCTCGTTAGAGTATAAAATCAGGGACGGGCACGGGGTGATTTATGTGTGTATGGGAGGAGGGGAGGGAAGGGCCCGGTTGCTAGGTTTGGGCCCAGATTTTTTTTCCAAACGTACCACTGTGGCAGATGTTTTCCTTATTTTTCAATATAAGACTCTCAACTCTGTGCAAGAATAAATTATTTGGTTGTTCCAAGTCTGTTTGAAAGATTTCTTTATTAACCACCCCCCTCATCCCCTCAGAAAGGAAAGGTTGGCCTCTTAACAGCCCACGTGCGATATATTAAAAATCTATCATGGCTACAGGAATATTGACTATTTCATTACAGACTGTAAATTGACTGAGTTTAAGCAACAATAATTTTATCATGTCAGCACTCAAGAGGAAAGGACAGAGAGAAGAAAAGCATGTTGTGAGAGTTGTTATGACTCTCTCTGACGGGTAAAATAGTTTATCTCTTGTTTCTTTCTCCAGTTTCTTTGTTGGTTATGAAACCATGAAAGTATGTCTCTCATAACTGTCCATATTTTCAAAATTCGTCATTCCTTAAACTGCCCAGTTTAACAGTGACATCTCAGTAGAGAAGTTGAGAAATAAAAAGCATGTCCATGTATGTGTCACATATGAAACTCTGTCACAGCATCTAAAAATTAATGGCATATACTGTCTTAATTGTGAGTGCAAGATTTATTCAGGGAAATACTGATGAACATCAAATTAAAAATTGTGTTTTCATTCAAGGGATGATTTTGATCAAAATATGCATGTATAAAAATAATCATGTCTAAGCCAAGGTTCTGGTCTTATTTTGCTGTAAACAGCTGCTGAGTAGGGTGGTGTTTGCCGCCTTTTACCAGTAGCTCACTCAAGTAGTACTTCTGAACTGCTTGTAAGTGAGAACTATAAGCCCAGGACTTTTGGCATGTATAAATACGTGTTGATGCAGAGTAATATTCTGTTGCTGTGTAATGCTTCAATTTAGTTGCATTTAACCAGCACTTCTTTTGAGTAGTTTTTGTCTGAATTGCTCATCAAAGAGGAGATACACTTATTTATACCTGATAAATTTCTGAAGAGAAAATTTTAGACCATCAACCTTCAACAAGGATTAAAAGATAAATTATTTTAAGTAAAGTGAAAATGACAGCAGTTGCAAAAGAAAAATATTTTGAAATGTAGAGAGGGCTTGGGAAAGAAAAAGGTACCTAGAAATTACAAGCTGATTTTCTTGATGCCATTAGTCAGGTTTCAAGCACCAAAAAGACATATTTTTTATACTGGAGAAGGAACTTTGGAACCATCCACTTATAAAAGAAAATTAAATGTTGCATTGTATGTAGGAACTTCTTCATTAAATATCTCGTATTTTGATGCATCTGCTCCAGGAAAAAAAGCATTATTTTTTCGTTGGAGGAGTATTATGCCATAGTTAGCACAGTGTAGTTGTTAGTAAGCAAAATGTTGTCTTATAGTTTTGCCTGAATTTATGGTATTAGCAGGATAAAAGCGAAGTGGAAACCTTTTAAGATATGAAGATAATTATTATATCACAAAAGGTTATTTCCCACAGTGAATGTACTATGCATACAGGTGCTCAATGAGCTACAGGCCCCATTACAGTAGTCTGCTTATTTATAGGAGTTTACTACACACATGTACCAATATGTAATAACAGGCAAAATGATAGCTTACTAGTAATTATTAGTACTCTGTAGTGTGCATTCTGTGATCATATCTCATGTGGGTTGTTGAAAAAGAAAAGACAAATTAAGTCATTTCCAAAACTTGAAGGCCAAGTGTTAAATTACATAATAAGGTATTTACCATGGTAAATAAAAACACTTACCCTTACTGCCAATATTGATTTTTCAGGATGAAACTCAGACTGGTGTGTTGCAATGGTCATTCATTTCTGTGAGTATGATCATCTTTAACTATTACAGTGTAACCTCTCCTTTGCGATACCTCTATTCAAGGGACACCTCCAGTCAGGTGACACCAAATTTGGTCCCAGAAACATTTTCACATAATCTTTGTAGTTGTAACAGGTGTACCTCTATTGAAGGGACACCTCTATTCGGGGGAAAGGGAAACTTTACCTGGATCCCGAAACCCGCATTTGACCTCCATTCAGGGGATTCAGGGGGGCATTCAAAAGGTGACTGTCCACAAAAGCGTTAATAAATTCAAGTGCTCACTAGTCACAATTGCAACAGCTTTCAAAACTTTAACTATCTTACTTAAATCAATGCACTGTACTTGTGAGAATTCAACACACAACATTGCAGAGATAAGTTAATAATAATTTTTTAGACACAAGTTGCTTGAAATAATAACTGCAGCAGATTCCAAGGCACGATAAAAGAAAACATTTTTATTTGTTGGTTAATTTTTACACTTGCCTTGGTCCCAAGGGTTTCCCCTGAATAGAGGTTCCATTGTATAATATGGCATCTTTAAATAATTATCTTCTTTTTTAGTTTTGTCTTTTTATAATAACAGACAAATGTTTACTCATATTTACCTCTTTACCAATGACCACTTTTTCTAATTCCAGTGGAATTGGATATTCCATACATTCACTCAAGGCCACCTCTGCGTGATGACAACAGCCACTAATTTAAGGAGCTTTTCAAAAAATATACTT